CTAACAGGACTTGGGTCAGAGTCAGCCTGCAACGTGCCACTCAACCGGTGGGTAACACACAGGCGCTGTGGTCAAACACCCACCCTGCGGCCGAGCAGAGACCAGGGTACAGGGTCCTCGTTTAGCTCATCCTCCGCAGCGCGTTTATGCTGTGCGGTGGACACACTGCTGCCGTGTACCCTGAAGGAAAGGTAGTGCAAGGTGTAGCCTTGCAAGGGTACAAGCCTGAAACCTGAAATGGTTGGGTTTGACTGGGGATCAAGGAGACTAGCAACTTCGTAGAGTTTACAACAATCAAACACATCGTTTTATTGACAAATCTTGAAAAAAAAAAAGATATTTTCTGCTCTCCTTGTTCAGACAGGAAAAGGAATCTAAAGCTTTGTTATAATCTCGGGTTTTGAAACTTTCGGGCATGATTCACCATTTACTAACTTTAGTATATTCTTGCTATTAAATACTTTGAATGCTAAGAATGGCAATGATTCTGGCCATGAAATTCTTATGGGTTGTTTGGGGGTTTTTATAACTAGAGACCCCAAGCTTGTTTTTTGTTGGCAGCTATCCTCTGAAGGCTTTTCTGGAGACACTGTATGAGCAGGTCTTAGAAGAGACAAGTTGGTTTCAATTCAAAGAAGGCAGAGATAACATTCTTTTAGCACTGTGAAAAGAATAAAACAATGTAAACATCAGTCTATACAGAGTTTACATGTAATGAAATAGCATTTATGCAACCATGTTGTTATCAGCTTTTGGAACAAAGAGAGAACTTTTGTGACTATGTAAGGGGTACTTTTCTCATGTGGTTTACCCAGCATCACACAAGAAACAAATGGTAGACCCAGGTTCTAAAACCACAAAATTTCCAAATTTCATTCCAAGAGCTTTAGCAAAATACTCTACCTCCAGCCCAGATTCAAGGTCCATTTTTATAAGCTGCTGTGCTGGTTTTGGCTGGGATAGAGTTAATTTTCTTCATGCTAGCTAGTAGGTGGCTATGTTTTGGATTTGTGCTGAAAACAGTGTTGATAACACAGGAATGTTTTCATTACTGCTGAGCAGGAGCTTTTCTGCTCCTCACCCCACCCCACCAGCGAGGAGGCTGGGGGTGCACAAGAAGCTGGGAGGGGGCATAGCTGGGACAGCTGACCCCAACTGACCACAGGGGTATCCCACCCCATATGACATCATGCTCAGCATATAGAGCTGAGGGAAGAAGAAGGAAGGGGGGGGACGTTTGGAGTGATGGCGTTTGTCTTCCCAAGTCACCATTATGTATGATGGAGCCCTGCTTTTCTGGAGATGGCTGAGCACCTGCCTGCCCATGGGAAGCAGGTTGCTTTGCTTGGCTTGAGTGCACGGCTTTTGCTTTACCTGTTAAACTGTCTTTATCTCAGCCCATGAGTTTCCTCACTTTTACTCTTCCAATTCTCTCCCCCATCCCACCACTGGGGGAGCGAGTGAGCGGCTGCTTAGGGCTCAGTTGCTGGCTGGGGTTAAACCATGACAGCTGCCCAGACAGAATTTTTGATTTTGATTTCTGTTCATAACATGACAGCATAGGCTCAGCTGTGCTGTGGCAGGCAATTCTAACATGAAGAAAAGGCTATTTTTAAGATCCCCCCACAAAAAAGGAGAGCCTGCTGAGCTATAAAATTTGTTTTCACCCTTTGTTTCCTTCTTCCAACCCTATAGCTCTTTCTAGAAATAATCCACACAGAGATAAGCAGTAATGTAAGAGCAAGTTTACACAAACACTGTCAAAATGTGTACCATATATTCAATATGTAATATTTTGACTTAATAGAAAGTTTATCTCGACTTGACAATTTTAATGTCATAACTTAGATGTTATGAAATGCCTTCAATTCTACAAAGGCAACATTTGCTATACAAACTGATTTTGCAAGTGATTGTTTTGTAATTGTAATAATCCTCTTGACAGATTTAATAGCAATTTTCAAAGCTGAGGAAACAATATTGTTTATTCATTTTACCATTAATTTGAACAGAGGTTTAAAAAAGCAAAAAAGGTATGTATTTAGCTTAGTACCTCTCAAATTTCAAGTGTATTTTGTTACAGCTGGCACCTTTAAAATACCCTAAAAATGCATTTTTGAGAGTAATGTGGAAGAAATTAATTATAATAATAATAATTCCCCATTCAGCAACAAAGGGAAAATAGTTTTCTACCGCTTCTCAGCCTCTGTTACATCTTAGCTACCCCAGTGTCTCTCCAAAGTGAAGTTAATGAGAAAGATATATCTACTTAGTCTATCAAAAACACAAAAATAAAGCTAGTATATTTATAAAAATGTGTCCACATCCACCATTTTGCTCACTAAGCAGGCAACAGGAAAAAAACAGAAGCTGTAGTGATAGTTAAAGCTTTATATTTTTTGGTAGCATGAGATTTTTTTCTCCCAAGTTGGTACTATGGAAGCAATACAAGTGTAAAAATACATAGTTTTTATTACACTTCTGGCAGTTTTCCTTGCATCATTTAGTAAAGAAGCAGAGGGAGCCCCAATTCGAAGTAAACAAATCAAAACTTTGCATATAAATATGTTTGAGTAGACAACCCATTAATCTCTCTGTAATGGAGACCTGACTCACTCTTTCTCTCCATATCAATATTTGAAACACTGGAAGGGGTTGCCCAGGGAGGTGGTGGAAGCCCCATCCCTGGAAACATTCAAGACCAGGTTGGACGGGGCTCTGAGCAACCCGATCCAGTTAAAGGTGTCTCTGCTCGCTGCAGGGGGGTTGGGCTAGATGGCCTCTAGGGGTCTCTTCCAACCCAAAACATTCTATGATTCTATGACTCTATGATTCTATGTTCAATATCTCATAGGAAAAAAAGAGTCGGATATTTGCAGAACAACTATGACAGCACCATAGGGTGGCTCTGAGGACAAGAATGAGCAGATGGAGATGGAAAATGTTCAACCCAAAACTTCTGACAGAAAAATGCACATCAAATTACTCTCCAAAAGTTAGAAGCCTCCTATAAGCCTGAAGTGTTATGGCCAGGATTTGGGGTGTTGGGAAGTCCTACAGCACAAATGAAAGCAAATGAGAAAAAGAATATGACCTGTCTCCAGTGTTTCCCTGATTTAGTGAACTAAAATCTAATTTCTTGCCTCCTTTTGGAAAGCTTTGGCTTTCTCCATCCTTTAAGAAAAGCATTTGATTGACAGAACTTGGATGTTTCGCCAGTTTTGAATCACTTACATTTCTTTATGGTCTAGAAATGAATTGTGCCTAGGTGCCCTCTTTCTCTAAAGGCTGCTGATTCAGCACATCATATACAAGCAGGTCTGTGCTTATGTGTATCTATATTTATATCCATAGCTATATGTAAATATATGTAAAGGAGTGGCTGGAGAGCATGGAGTTTTGTCTTGGGACAGGTGAGAAACTGGTAGAGAGAAACCATGCTGAACCAACCTGACTGTTTTCTGTGAAAAGGTGACTAAACTTGATGGCAAGTCAAAACACAGCCTTTGCCCACAGTCTCCTTATCACCAAAGTAGTGGTCAGTAAGTTGGGTAGAAAATTGGGCAGACTGGGGTCTCAAGGAGTTGTGATGAGGAGAGCAAACTCCAGCTCGCAGCCAGTAACCAGTGGCATCCCTCAGGTACACATACTGGGGTCCATACTGCTTAATATCAGTGTCAGGACAGAGTACGTTCTCAGTAAGCTTGCAGATGACACTTAACTGGATTGAGCAGTCAATATGCTTGAGGGCAGGGCGATTATTCAAAGGGTCCTGAACAGGCAAGAGAAATGGGCAAAAAGCAAACACAAATTCTTGCATCTGGGATGGAATGCCACCACGTCGCAGTAGAGACTGGGATGCAGCTTTGCAGGAAAGGACCTGGGGGTCTTGGTGGGCAACAAGCTGGCAAGATGCAGTAATGTGCCCTGGCGCCAAAGAAAGCCAACTGTATCCCCGACTGCATTAGCCAAGAGTGTGACCAGTAGGTCAAAAGAAGTGATCATTTCTATCTATTCAGCACTTGTGAGACCACATCTGGAGTGGTGTGTCTACTTCTACATTCCCCAGTACAAGGAGGACACTGACATACTGGAGTGAATTCAGTGGAGGGCTGCCAAGCTGCTCAGGGGACTGGAGCACATGACATACGTGAAAAAGCTGAGAGAGCTGAGTTTTTTCAGCCTTAACAGGAGAAGGTTAAAGGGAGACCTTATTCATGACTTAGAACTACCTGACTGGTGGATATAGAGAAGGTGGAGCCAGGCTGCTTCTCAGAGGTATACTTGAATAAGACAAGAGGCAATGGACACAACTTAGAATGTGGGAAATTCCAATTAGATATAAAGAATACTTTTTTTTTTCTTTTCAATGAGGGTGGTCAAATACTGGAACAGGTGTCCAGAGAGGCTGTGGGATATCCATCCTTGGAGGTATTCAAGACTTTAACAGGGCACATCCCTCAGTAATCTGATCTAATTAGAGCTGCTTTGAGCAGCGGATTAGAATAGATTACCTTCAGAGGTCCCTTCCAACCTAATTTATGATTCAATAGATCAGTCGATCAATTGATCTATCTGGCTATCTATCTAACTAACTATTAACACACACACACAATCTATATCCAAAGTCTGAGGATGGATGAAGTGCGAAGACGTAGGTTTCTTCCAGAATGCAAACTGGAGATTATTATCAGTACTACTAATAAAAATGATCTCTGAAGATACGCAAAAATTATATTCATTTGTTCCCTAGGTTCCCATTTTAATTTTCCTTTTCCTTCTTTCCCTCAAAAAAAAAATTACTGTAATTGAAAGGAATCGTTTATGAGTCACACAGTTTATCAGTCGGGTGTTGTGGGAGGACAGATTAGTGAGTTTTATTGCCGTGCATCTCGTAAAAGAATGAGGCAAGAGAAATAATAACCTAGAGCTTTCATAGCAATGGAAAAGCAGATAGTCTTCAGGGTGACCTAGTTGGTGATTCTGAAACACACAGTAAAGGAAGACACCCTTTTGAGCTGTGGAGTGCCAAATAAGAGATACGTGATTTCTTTGTTAAGAGTCGTAGAATCATAGAATCATAGAATGGTTTGGGTTGGAAGGGACCCCTAGAGGCCATCTGGTCCAACCCCCCTGCAGTGAGCAGGGACACCGCTAACTAGATCAGGTTGCTCAGAGCCCCATCCAGCCTGGCAGAGAATGTTTCCAGGGATGGGGCCTCCACTACCTCTCTGGGCAACCTCTTCCAGTGTTTCACCACCCTCATTGTAAAGAATTTCTTCCTTATATCTAGTCTAAACCTACCCTGTTTTGGTTTAAAACCATTACCCCTTGTCCTGTCACAGCTGGCCTTGCTAAAAAGATTTTCCCCGTCTTTCCTATAGGCCCCCTTTAAGTACTGGAAGGCTGCAATCAGGTCTCCCCACAGCCTTCTCTTCTCCAGGCTGAACATCCCCAACTCTCTCAGCCTGTCCTCATAAGAGAGGTGCTCCAGCCCT